AGAGAGAGAGAGGGAGTCACAGACTGAAACAGGCTCCAGGCTCTGAGCTGGCAGTCAGCACAGAGCCCGACGCGGGGCTCGAACCCACGAACCGCGAGATCATGACCCAAGCGAAAGTCGGACGCTTAACCGACTAAGCCACCCAGGCGCCCCTACATATATATATTATATGTAGTGCTCTATAACTTTCCTTATCACTAAACATTATATTTTTAGATATATCCATCTTGTTTATCAAATTATATACATATTTACATATAAAGTTTATTCATATATATTCATATATTTATTTATATATTTTTATTCACATTAACCATGTTTCAATAAATGAAATATTATAATTTATGTATCCATTTCCTTTCTGATGAATATGAGTTGTCTCCAATGTTTTATTATTAAACATATACCACAATTAACATACTTTTATATTTCTTTGTGTATGTGTGGGAGAGTTCTCTAGGTTTTATATACAAAAGTAGAATTGCTTTCCAAATTTTTCTGCAAATGAGATTTTTACATTTTTCAGAGAAATCTTAGCTCTATCTTGGGGTACTTCAGGGTTTACTTCTGAGCAGAAGTGGTATGACTTTCTATTCAGGCTCTATTAGTTTTCTCATTCTTCACAAGAGCATGTCAACCCTGGCTTTACTCTCTATTAAGGCTAAAGGGAATTACCTGACAAAAGCCATATGTCAGGGTCTTGTCAGAGAGAACAAATTCAAAGTCACTTCTAACCAAGATCTATCAAATTCCAGGATGAGAAAACAATAGTTATGGAAGATTACTTGGAAAATACTCAGACTCTCCACTCTTCCTTATACTCTAAATATGGATTAAACTATAGCAGCAAAGGATTTAAATTATATGGAACCAGTCCACAGCCTGGAGACTTGCTACTCAAAACATGGTTCACCAAATAGCACCATCAACATCACATTGGACCTTTTTATAAGCGCAGATTATTTGGCCTTACTTCTGGTCTATTGAAAGACTATTTTATTTTATTTTATTTTATTTTTTTTACTTATTATTTTTTTTTACAAATAGTTTATTGTCAAATTAGTTTCCACGTAACACTCAGTGCTCATCCCCACAAGTGTCCTCCTCCATGCCCATCCCCCCTCCCCCCCACATCCATCAGTCCTCAGTAAAGACTATCTATTTTAACAAGGCTCTCCAGTGATTGTATGCATATTAAAGACAAGAAGCATAATTTTAGATAATTATTTCTCATTTTGTGATTGATGATTGGGCTAAGTCTACCTTAATTAAACCTGATAAAAATTCTTATGAATGCAATAAGAATAATGTTCAAATCACTGGCTATTACATAAATAACAATCTTATAATGAGAACCATTCAAAAAAATTGGTCTGATCTTAGTGTCAGATATAGTTGTGCTTCTACTGAATGACTATTTCATTTTATTCTTTGAAACACTGGAAAATACGTAACTGACCAGAATTTATTTTTCCTTGACTACTAATTACCCAAAATGAGCACTAGCCTACAGCAGGTATATAGGCACTTACAGTAAACACTTTGAGTGAGTATCAAGCCTTGCTCTTAGTTCCTATTTTTATTGTTTTCATCATTTTCATGTATTTTAACCCATATTTACTAGTTGTGTCTTATTTATCATCATGAGCTATATTAACTTATTCTTGGAATGAGAGATCAAGGGGGTAGAACACTAGTTGGCACCAAATTATACCAAAAGCAAAAGAATCCCATAGTTTGACTACTCAATACATTCTACTTTGCTGTTGTCTCATGAAATAATGATGCCTAAATAGCACAAATCCCAATACATCTCTGCCTAATGACTGCGAGATTGGAATTAACATAATGGGAATTTTTTAAAGACTTTATTTATTTTAATTTATTTTTTTAAATAATCCCTACACCTAATGTGGAGTTTGAACTAATGATCCCAAGATCAATACTAACATGTACTTCTGACTGAAATAGCCAGGAGACTTAAAATTTATCTTTTTTAAGAGCAGTTTTAGATTTACAAAAATAGTAAGAGGAAGGTATAGATTTCTCATAAACCCTTCGCCCCCACACTTGCATATCTGCCCCTATTAGTAACGTCACTCGCCAGAATGGTACCTCTTTTTTCTTAAGGAAAATAAATGGACATATCATGACCACTCAAAATCCATCATATACATTAGGGTCCACTCTTGGTATTGCATATTCTGTGGGTTTAGACAAATGTTTAATGATTTATATCCATCATTATGATATTCTGAATATTTTCATGGCCCTAAAAATCCTTTGTGCTCTGCCTACTTGTCTCTTCCCTAACCATCACTAGCAACCACTAATCTTTTTACTCTCTGCATCATTTTTTCCCCAGAATGTAAAATCGTTGGAATTATATAGTATACAACATTTCAGATTGGCTTCTTTCACTTGGTAATATACATTTAAGGTTTCTCCATGTCTTCTCATGGCTTAATCGCTCATTTCTTTTTAGTGCTGAATAATATTCTATTGTCTGGATGTATCATAGTTTATTTATCCATTCACCTCCTGAAGGACATTTTGGAAGTGTCCAAGATTTGGAAATTGTGAATAATGCTACTTTAAACATCCATGTGCAAGTTTTTATGTAGACATAAAATTTCAATTCCTTTAGATAAATAGCAAGAAGTGCAATTGTTAGATCATATGGTAAGAGTATGTTTAGATCTGTAAGAAACCACCAAACTGTCTTCCAAAGTGGCTGCATAATTTTGCATTCCCACCAGCAGTCAATGAACATTCTTGTTCCTCCACATTCTTATGAGCACTTGGTATTTTCAGTGTTCTGGATTTTGGCCATTCTAATAGGTATGTATGTACTGTATCATGGTTGTTTTAATTTTCATTTCCCTGATGACAAGTGATGTGGTCCATCTCTTCATATGATTATTTGCCATCTGTGTTATCTTCTTTGGTAAAGTATTTGTAAGGTCTTTGTCCCATTTTAAAAATTAGGTTGTTTGTTGTCTTATGTTGAGTTTTAGGAGTCCTTTGTATATTTTTGTTAATAGTCCTTTATCAAATGTGTCTTTTGCAAATATTTTCCTCCAGTCTGTCACTTGCCTTTTAATTCTTTTGATACTGTCACTCACAGAACATGTTATGGGAATTTTAAAATTATACCAGAAATAAGTATTTTGAAAAATAAAACATGGTTAAGGAGCTAACATTACGCTTAAATAAAATGTAATGCCAACTCTATGAGTTGATTCTCACATGGCAAATATGAGACATGAATTTGCCTGTGCTTGGCACCACAACCTAATATGACATTTCTAGAATTTTCCAACAATTTAGTTCTTGAAAACTGTCTCTTTATGTGTTTAGTCCTTCATTAATCATAACTAAAATGTAGACCAAATTGTATTGGACTTAAAATCAGGAGATATGTAAATAGAAATTGACTACTTATGGGGCACTTGGTTGACTCAGTTGGTTAAGCATCTGACTTTGACTAAAGTCATGATCTCATGATTCATGGGTTTGAGCCCTGCTTCAAGCTACATGCTGACAGCTTAGAGCTTGGGGCCTGCTTTGGATTCTATGACTCTCTGCCCCTCCCCTACTCACACTTTGTCTCTCTCTCTCAAAAGTAAATAATTTTTAAAAAATATTTTATTTATTTTTGAGAGAGAGATAGAGACAGCATGAGCAGGGGAGGGTCAGAGAGAGAGTGGACACAGAATCTGAAGCAAGCTCCAGACTCTGAACTAGCTGTCAGTAGAGAGCCCGATGTGGGGCTCGAACCCACAAACCGCGAGATCATGACCTGAGCTGAAGTCGGACGCTTAACCGACTGAGTCACCCAGGCGCCCCAGTAAATAAACATTTTTAAAATGCCTACTTATTAGCAATGTGACCTTGTCAAAGATATTTTTCTACTTCTGAGTTTCCACTTACAGAGAAGACAGTAAGAATATCCACTTCACATATTTATTGAGGGCATTATTGAGACAAGCTGTACAAAGAAGCCTGGCAGAGAGCCTGGTAATACTTGGTTTTCAGTATTTCTCTCTGTATGCTAATTAACCTTGTATTATTTTGTCAATATACTCAAAAACAACGGAATTAGAGAAAATCTAGCAAATGTTATTCAAACTCTAATGTTAATAACTACTCGGTAGTCCTTACTTTAACTGATGTCTTAGTGTTGGAAATTTACATTATTTATTTTCCACTCAGAAATAATGCTCTTTCTCCAGGACCTGGCAGCTATTCTTTTGAAATGTAATTATGAAGATAGAGCCCCATCTCCTAGTCTCTCTCTATAGGAGGATAAGAGATTATCTTTAGTAAGCACCAATTAATAAATTCACATGGTGAAAGGAGAGCAGAATATGCCACCTGAAAGTATGACAGTTTGGCATGTTGATTATCTTGAATTAAAGTTAGTTAAGAAACAGCTGGTGCAAAAGGACACTCCAACTCTCCTTCATCCTCCTGAAGGCAGGAAACCAATCTGCCATGTTAAACGGTAAGAGAGTACAAGTCATCTTTACCACCAGAAATAGGTGATATAGGGGCAAGAAGACTATATAAACAAACATTGTTACTTCTTCACTAATATATTACCTCAAGTTGAAACCCCTTTATCCTGCTAATTCTTCATAATTTTATTGATTCTTTTTGTCTAAAAGGTATAAATGCTGACTACTTTTAATTTTGAAATTAAATTTGTTTTTCCTTGTTAATCTCTCTTATATTAAATTAATTATTAGACCAACCAAAGAATCTACAAGGAAAGAAAGTTTTTCCACACCTACATTCTCTAATCATATTGGCCAACTTCTCTATTAACATCCTCCACTTTACCATATCTTAAACACTCTGGCGCTTTCTGTTTTAGGGGAGTTGACTGTAACCTCTCTCCCTTGTTGAAATAGTCTTGACCCCTAAGACAATAATCTTGAGAAATGTGTTCCTGGCATGTTTAACTCCAACAGGTGCAATTTTTCTTTGATACGTACCATCTTGTTTGAAGGCATCTGAGGAATGATAAAGATTGATGGGGGAATAATAATGTTGAGCTGCCCCTCGCCAGCTTGGTGAAGAAACACTCAGGGTTCCTAAAGAAGGATTGCTATATCGTGGTCTAGTCTTTGAACCAAAGAGAGATGAAGATGAACTCTTTTTAATTCTTAGCAAAGCAGCATACGAAGTAGGGAAATTAGGAAGAGCACCAGAATATTCTGTAAAAGAAAAACAATAATAAAAAGTGAATTATGAGGAGACTTTTATTTTTTCCTATGAAAACTATTTTTTTCTAAAGACATTGTTAACAACTTCCCTTAGAGCAGAAACCAAATGCAAACTACAGAAAGAGTGACAACAACAACAACAAAAAACAAAATAAAGTGTTATTTTTATATTTTACAGTATTTTATGGAAATTCTGCTAGTTACAGTGTTGGGTTTCTGCCAGAGGGAAAGAAAGAAAAAAAGATGAAAGAAGAAAAGGAAAGAGAACAAAGGAATGGAATGGAAAGGAGAGAAGAAGAAAAAAAGGAAAAAAGGAAGAAAGACATCCAAAAATTCAAGTCTTTATTTCCTTTGTCAGGAATATTTAAGAATTTTTTTTGCCTTAATATTAAGATATGCATTAACATACATTAGATCAGTTCCTTATTTATTATTTAAAAAATAGGACAATGAGAAAAAACCCACATTCTCAATTATATTCTAAAAATATAATCTTCATGACTTATAATTTATCACTTAGTGAGAAACGCATCTAATACAGCATATATTTTGATAAGGCTGTAAGTTATGTCCCATGTTCTTGAAAAACAGTCAAGTTCACAGTGGAAAATAAACAATTTTGGATGAAATTTGTATTGCAGATTTTGTTATATAATCCATGTAACTTAATATTTATTATTAAGTGGGGACACTTTTGTGAAATTCCTACTTTCATTGATTATTTTTAAGTGTCTTGACAATATTTTGCTTTAATTCCCAAGATTTTTCATCAGAAAATATGGATAATGGTTGGAGTAGAATAGACCAACACTGTTATGTCCCTAGGAAAAAGATTAGTATGCAGGTCAAATGTTTAAAAGCAAACTAATTATAGTGAATTCTAAAGAACAACTAGGAACTGGAAATTTTTTTCTATGTCAAATATCAATTGAATTTGACAATTTCTTTGATCTTGGAAATATTTTTAAAAGTCACACAGTTTTGTTCAGAGTATCTGATATTTTAACTTGCTAGATGTTAATTTAATTTGACAAAGAATAATATATCTTTGTGAATAAGCTTCCTCATAATGAAAATTATTTTAGAATCATTATACTGCCTCATAGAGATATTTTTTAATGCAAGAAGCATTTCTGTGAATTGAGAATAACACTTTAGTAGGTGTTAAGCATCAAATTAAATATAACATTTTCCATTTTGTGAAATTGTAAATATGATTTGTCTGAAACTCAAAAAAATGTTTTTAGATGTTCTCTACATTTAAATCGAGCGTGATATGTGTAATCTGAACCTATCAGGAGCTATTAAGAGCTTCATGTCTTTTAGTCCTCATGTTCAACTTACAAGTATGGTGAAGGTGGATCAATTTTAACTGAAAATAGCTAACCTCTTTTGGGCAAACTCTATGAGAATAGATTATGAGTAGACATAAAATCTCCTTTAAAACCTGAAATTAAAAGCAAGTTTTGGCACCTAGAGGTGCAAGGTAATGAAAAGAGAATGAATTTTCCTTTAGAGGTAGTTTGTAGTTGTGGTTTCTGAACTTCTTTGCTTCTTAGTGCAGTCTGCTGCTTTGAGTTTTTGCTGCCTACCCTGCTCATATATAAAAAGAAAAAAAAACTGTACTACACTAGTGTCAAAAATGAAAATGGAGTGTGAGAGTGGCTTACAGTTTTTAAAGCTAGAGATGGATAATCAGTGAAATTAGAAGGGCCACAATGAGACTCAAAAGCCAGGATCATCATTGTGGATATGAATATACATAATACATCTATATATTCCCTAATACACACATCACATACATGGATCATATATATAAATCATAAATCAAATATATAAATAATAAATATAATATATATTAACAAAATACATACTGGTTAAGGACATCACTAATTGCTTTATGCCACCATTTAAATAGAGATGAGCCAAATGCTAACTAATGTGGCTCCACACCAGGGCTTCATTTGTTATGTAATAAGTTGCATCTGTTACAGTGGAGATTCCTTTTTCATCAATTAAAGTGAACCCAGAGCTATTACTAGAAATTTGACAGTTTATTCATTCATTCATGTATTCAGCAAATATGTAATGAGAACTCAGTAGGGGCTAAATGCTAAGGATACAAAGGTGAACAAGATACTGCATTGGCTTCAAGGAACTTTATGACATAGTGATTAAGAAAGACAACTATATGTGAACTTTAATTCAACGTGATATAAAAGTAAATTCAAGGATTTTTTAGAGGCTCTCTCTAATGGGTGTGGAATCCTCTCATCCTGTCCAGGAGCCATCAGAAAATGCTTTCCAGATGAATTCTATCTAATCTGAGTCCTGAAAGCCCATTGGTGACTAGTTCAGTAAAGCTCAGAGTAGTCAAGGAAAAGATATCCTACCAAAGGGAAGAAAGTACATGAATACCTGGAGAGGAAATGCAGCAGCGTGTGCTGGGTAGATTAAAATAATCATGAGCTCAGAGGGTAAGGGAGAGAGGTGGGAGAAGAAACAGAACTGAATAGGTAAACGGGGATTAATGATGAAATGCCTAGTATGCCATGCTACAATGGCAGGACCCTGAAACGAGAATAATATAAATTTTTAGAAAGAAGTTTTTGGCTGCAGTGTCATTTGGAAGAAGACAAAAGAAAACAGAAGACTAATCAAAACTGTAATGAAAGGCGAATATTAGTCAAGAATGGGGAGGTGATATAATGTGGATGGAATGAAGTCATCAAGATTACTGATTGGATTCGAGGCGAGGAAAGGAAAATAAGAATCTGGGGATACTCTGTGCTACTAGAAGATGGATAAAGGTGCAGGGAAAGGCATGTGCTTGAAGTGAAAGCTTATGAATTAAGTTTGGAGCAGGTGGAGAGGTTGAGGGACTTCTTAGGCCATTCATTCTGATTACAAAATTCTGTAAACATAAGAGAGATACAGATTCATGAAAGATTATTAAATGGTAACCAAATACATGGTTATTAAACTATGAGAATACCTATGTTTGCCAAGGAAGTAAGTACAATAAGGAATAGACTGTTGAAAATGGAACCCTGACAAACACCAGTATTTATGAGAGTAGCAGATATAATGAAACCTGTAAAGAAAAGAAGAAAAGCAGGAAAGTGTGAAGTTACTGAAAAGAAAAGAAGTCTTTAAATGCTGATGAGAGCAGTTTTCAGTGTTGAAGAGCTGGGTCTGCAGTGAAGGGGTGCCCCACAGCAGCAAAACTGCTTTACTGCTGCACATGTAATACACAGCAAATGTATGTCAGATTCAGGAGGTGAAGAAGGGTTTTTGAGCTCTGGAAGAGACCTCTGAAGCTCTGTCAATTCCATTCAGTTAGACATATAGATATTGGCCTTACCCGGTGACTTCCAATACTCTCTAGTCTTGGTGCAAGTGACTTTCAGTTCAGTGAGGTCTCCCTCTGTTGGGGGCAATTCTAACTCTTCTACCTGGTGCCCTCCCAGCTGCCCAGCTTCTTTTTCTAACATCCCTAATTTCTCCACGCTTCATTCCTAGCTCTGGGGCCTTCAGCTCTAGAAAATAGATCCCTTGATATAAATAAAATGGGAAAATTATGTTTCCATCCTAAGACTTTTTTTTAACTACCAACTTTGGGAGACTGAATTGATTTAACACATACAGGCTTCTGTTGTGGTTGAAAAATACTGCATCATCTTCCTAAGTTTAAAATCAGACATTTGCATTTCTGTCTATCTCATCTTATTGTTCACCTCTTTCTAGGATTTCAACCCCTTCAAGATTTACAAGCTACTAATCTTAACACTGTCACCACCCTGCAGACCTCTCATTTCATCAATCTCCTTCTCCAGTTTAGAGTTTGTTGTTCATTACTTTACTCAGTCCCTTCAATATACCTTCATTTACACTAGCCCTTACCCTCACTTGTTTTCAGACTGAACTCCTTGTCTAGTTTAAATCCAATTATTAACATGCTGTGTTCCTGAATACAGCTGGAAAAGAACAGAAAATCATTCCTAAACGTCACAATTCATGATATTAAGAGTGAGTGAAATTTTCAAGTTTCCCAGCAATACTCCCACATTTCCCTGGTCCATTTAATATCCCATCCCCCTGAATGAATAATTTGCATCTTATCCTTCATACTCAAGGTCCATACCTTCTTGATCTTCCTAATGATGGTATTCCTATTTTGCTGAGAAAATAGCTGCAATTAGAAGAGTGGGTCCCTCCCATGCACCTCCACCTGTATGTACATTCATACCTTGCTTTCATTGTGTCACTGTGAATGAATTGTCTGCGTCAATTAAAAACCAACTCCTCCAATCTTTTGCATTAAATCTCTTTCTAACCCATCTTGACTTCTCAAGGATGTCTTTCTAGAAAATCCTCTCTAGCTCTCCTTGAGCACCAATTTTTATCTCCCTATTAGATTATTCTCATAACTATACAAATATTGATCTAACCTTTTCAAAAAAGCTGTATAAACCTAACACTCCTTCTAACAATTTTATTAACCACTTCTTGAAAATGGCTATCAGTGGTCACTATGTTCAATTCTTCTTCTGCCGTTCTCCCTTGAGCCTATTTGTAAGCAGCCTTACTGATAACACCACAATAACGACTCTCTTTCAGGAGAGCAATGATCAGGTCATTGCTAAAGCTAAAGATTGGTTTCATCTATGAGCAACTTTCACCATGGTTAACCATTTTTTTTCCCTTTAAACATGTTCCTGATGTGATTCCAGTGTATTATAATACCATGTTTTTATTCCTATATCACTGGCTACTCCTTCTTTTTTGTCTTCTCAGCTTCTAAATTCTAACTGTTGGTGCACTCTAGAGAAAATATCTTCTCATTTAAATTTAGTCATGATGGGAACAAGGAAAAAAAAGATGTTGGCAAGTTTCCTTTTGTAGCAGGATTCTCACACAGAGAGTTGTGTCACCCAGGCTTTTTAATTTCCAGGAAGCAACTTTACTCATGCTGGCACTGCTCAGTGGGT